GTGGGGGGGAGGGGGGCGCACTCCGCAAAACACCTCCTGCGCACGCCATGAACGAGTGCGCTTGCACGGCCACAGCCCCGCTGCTGCTGCTCTAAAGGCCGTATCACAATGGCGGCTGCCGCTGCCGTCGCCGCTGCCATCGTCGCTGCCATCGTCGCTGCCGCTCTTCTCTCGACCAATCAGAGGCGAGCAGCCGCCGGCGGCCAGGATAGCCGACCGTCTATATTTCTGAGCGGCGACGGCAGCCAATCAGGGGTCAGAACGGCATCACGTGTGCTCGTATGACGTAGGCGCGTCGAAATGTTTTGTTTACATGTATTCCCCGCTCGCTCTCGCGCAAGGCGGTTGTGAGTAGAGTCCTGGTAAAGTTTGACCTCGAAATGGCCAAGAAAGAAATTGACATTAGACTTGCTCAAGCAGTTGAGAAGTATCCAATATTATGGGACTGTGGAAACGACCTGTACACAAGTACAGACTTAAAGCCAGAAGCCTGGATGAAAGTGGTGGAGCTGGTCGGACCACCGGTGACAGGTTAGTTTCCAAAGTCTTGTCCTTGTTTCGAGTTCTAACGTTCTTATGTAGTGCAATGTGAATGCTTATTCACGTGTTTTTGTGTCTGACAAGCCCCTGTGTAGCTTTAAAGTAATGACGTATCACTAAATATTTGTATTTGCTGGCGCTATCTTTCCAGAGGAGTGGGCTGCTAAGAGGTGGAAATCAATGAAAGATACTTTCCATGATAATCACAGAAGAGTGAGAGAGTCAAAAGGAAGTGGCGTCAGTACTAATGAAATTGTTAAGCCAACGTGGTACTTGGATAAGTATTTGACGTATTTGATAAAAACCTGTGCGCAGGCAAAATCATCCTCTAACTTAAATGTGCCACAACCCGAACAAAGCACTCAGCAGCTGCTTGTTAACATGCACTACGACCAATCACTGCAGGTTTGTATTACGACTGCGAGTCACTTTTCTCCTCACTAATGAAATTGCAATGTTCAATGGTTTAAAAAAAAAAAATTTTTGTGTCTAATTACAGAGGTGGATTTATATACCTAGTGAAACAGACGAAGCAAATGAAAATGAGCCGAGCATAATAGGAATGGGAAACGACCTGAATGAAAGTACAAGCTCTACTGTTAGTTTGGGGCCAAGTTCTGCAACTTCAATGTTCAATTTGGGGTCCATGGTTCCTAGCGCCCTGCCTCAGCTCGCAAGCACACCAAGACCATCTTCGTGTCCTCCTGCTCCTGAACAAAAGAAGCGAGGAGCAGATGATGACGATGAACATTTTTTCAACAAAAAAGGTTCATCAAAGAAAAACAGTAATAATCTTCTAGCAGCAGCCGTACATGCAATGGAAAAAATTGCGAAGGAGGATCCAGTTCCCATTCCTCCCTTCCAAGCTCCAATAAGTACGGGTGAGAAAATTCTGGAGAAGTTCCCTATTTTCAGGTTTGTGGCGGAACGCTTAAATGGAGTAGATGATGAAACTAAGAAGCGATTTGAAAATGAGCTACTGCAACTGTTACTGAAATATTGATGTGTTGCAATATTTTATCATAACCATTACTACCTCATGTACTATTATATTGATTTAATCACATACGTCCATTTTTTTGTATTCAGTATTACATAATCTCTTCTCATTTTTT